AGATTAGGATAAAATGAGTCTACGTGCATAAGAATTGCTTATTTTGAAAAAGAATGGGAAGGGTATTACAAATCCTCCAGAGTATAAAAGGAGATTTAGTAAAGTACAGACATTACATTGCTTTAGTTTAGGAAGATTTAAAATTTACATGGTTCTAGTAAATACCCCTTTAAGAATGTGAACTATTTCAAGCATCTAAGAAGAATTTATAAGAGGATGTCTGCAACTCAACATTCTAAACAACTTCAGAGCACATAGGACGGTTCCTTCTGCAAGTCAAAGTAGGAAGGAAGCAAGGAGGCATGAAATATATTGGGGAAACTGCCACAGTGTGAAATGAGTTTGTAAATTCTAAGATTTATAGGAATTAAAGCACATGGGGGGGTGGAATATTGAGGAATTTTGTAGCTGCTGTCGGTATTAAGTGTGAAGAGCTAGAGTATCTTGTGGGGAAGTGAGGAACAAAATGGATGTCTTTTATGAAACGAAATCAAGTGAACAAGGATAGCCTTTTCCAAAGCGCGGCTGCTTCAGGAAATAGAACTATTTTTAACACGAAGAAAGGGGGTAAGAACTGAGTATGATGGATCTTGATTTGCATAGAAAAGGTCACAGTCAATTGGAAGAAAGGCAACATTAGAGCCACACACCTAATTCTAAAATAGTTTGCATGATTCCCCACATTTCCCTCCCCTGAAATGCTGTGATGAAGCGGATGGCTGGGCGATGGTTCTCCCACACTAAGTGAAGGGTCACCTGTTAGGTCACAGTGCCCACACCTTGGCTGTGGTGGTCACTGAGGGTCACGCTCTTTTCGGAGTCACACTTTTCGTGGTCGTGCTGGGGTGCCCTCGAATAGTTTTCCTTGATGGCTGTTCTCACACACAGAGCTCGCACTCCTGGTCTCACATTTCTTGCTTGTTGCAGTACTTTGTTGCCGGCAACTGCATCCATTCGTTGTGCTGTGCAAACATACACACAGCCACACCTGCAGTGATGCAGCTGGAGCTGCAGCTCTGGGCTCTCAACCAAGCTGCCACCACTGTGCTCGGCGTATGCGGCAGTTTGAACTCTAGTATGCTGGCAAGGCTGTACCACCTTAACCACTGAGCCATCTCTAATTTTAAGGAAAATATTTTTAAATTGAATCAGATAAAGGGTTACAAAGCTGTTCACGACTGGGTTTCAGTCATACAATGTTCCAACACCCATCCCTCTACCAGTGTACATTTCCCAGCACCGATATCCCCAGTTTCCCTTTTTAACCCCCAACTCACCCTCCCCAGCTCACCACCCCAGCCTGCCTTAATGCCAGACACCTCTCCTCCTCCTCTTCTTCCTCTTCTTCCTCCTCCTCCTCCTCTTCCTCTTCCTCTTCCTCCGCCTCCTTCACTTCCTCCTTTCTCTCTCTCTCTCTCTCTCTCTCTCTCTCTCTCTCTCTCTCTCTCTCTCTCTCTCTCTCTCTCTCTCCCCCTTTTTGGGCATTATGGTTTGCAGTACAGATACTGAAAGGTTATCATGTGTTTCCTCAAGGAGATTTTTTAAATGACAGCTGGGACCAGAGATAGAGAACAGAGGTTAAGGTGCCTTCCTTTGCCAGGGATCATTTCCTGGGCACAGAGACAGGAAGAGCCTCTGAGCACTGCAGAGCTGCCCCCTTCCCCTCCCCAACCCATAACATCTGTAACGGGTGTCCCGTAGGAAGATTTTTTTCTCAACGGTTAGAAAAAGAATCATTAAGAAAATTGGGAAAAAAATACTGTCGGCCCAGCTTCGTGTAGTGGCATTGCAGTTACAATTGCTCTGAGCTGGGCACTTGGGGGAGCCCCTTGGATAATGGTAGTTTTCAACAATGAGGGCAATGCAGGGAAGAAAAGAGGTTAAATCTCAGTCCTTGGGCTCAAAATATATGCAGTTCAATGGAGAACTGTGTCTTTGGGATCTTGAAACAGAATAAAACTATCAGGAGCCTGACTCTCTGAGAATAACGGTGGGACTTCTTCACTTTTATGAAATCCAGGTCAGATGAAATCTTTCAGCTGACGGAAATTTTAGACCATGATACGGTTATTTCACACCACCCCTGCCCACTGTTCCTGAACACTGCTGAACAGAGACGAGACCCAATGCCCACTGCCCTTCTCTACCCGGAGGAGATCAGGAAGGCTGTTTTCAAAAGTGCTTCTGTAACACCACCCAAATACCACTGTTTCCAAGTGACCCCAGTCCAAAATCATCAACAGTCTTTCTGACCATGAGGGAATGGGTGTTGGAACATTGTATGTACGACTGAGACTTGATCATTAACAGCCTTTAAAGTATATCTCATGCTGATTCAATAAAAATATGTTAAAAAAGAAAACGAGCTCAGGGATGGAGAGATAGCACAGTGATTAAGGCACTTGCCTAGCACATGACAGACACAGATTCAGTCCTTAGCATGGGTTCAATCCACTGAGCCCCCACTAGTGGTGGTCCCTGAACTCAGAACCGGAAAGTGGGAGGGGGAAGGAAGGAAGGAAGGAAGGAAGGAAGGAAGGATAGCATGCAAAGGAAGAAAGGGAGGGAGGAAGGAAGGAAGGAAGGAAGGAAGGAAGGAAGGAAGGAAGGAAGGAAGGAAGGATAGCAAGGATAGCATGCAAAGGAAGGGAGGGAGGGAGGGAGGGAGGGAAGGAAGGAAGGAAGGAAGGAAGGAAGGAAGGAAGGAAGGAAAGAAGGAAGGAAGGAAGGAAGGATAGCATGCAAAGGAAGAAAGGGAGAGAGGGAGGGAGGGAGGAAGGAAGGAAGGAAGGAAGGAAGGAAGGAAGGAAGGAAGGAAGGAAGGATGGATAGCAAGGATAGCATGCTCCTGACTCTGATCTGATTCTGGCACCACCTGGTCCTCAGAACACTGTTGGATGTGACCCCAGGGGCACCCAGCACTGTCAGATGCCTAAGTCTTCCCTAGAACTGCAGGGCCAGAGCAGCTTCACATCCTCAAGTCCTTGCATTGAACCACTTGCCCTGGTTGGCTGAAAATCACCTGTGAGGTCCCTGAGCCTCGTGTGTACAGCTGAAGAGGCAGCCACTGCCACCTTCCCCCAAAGAGCCTGGAGCAGGAGGGATTGCCCCGAGAAAGGCACCCATCAGCACTAGCAGATTGTGGAACTGTGACCATCAATGATGATGTGATGGTGGCTGCTCAGAAGGCAAGATCGCTGGCACAAAGCAAGTTAGTGTACTTAGCTCCTTCTTCCGACTCTAGGTTAATGGATGCCTTGGTCCCTTTGCCTCCGTCAAACTGTGCAAGTGAAATGCCATAAGAACTCCACGGGAAAAGCTCAGGGGTTGATGCAAACAAATCTTCATCAAATTTCTGTGATGTCCCAGACCTGCCCTTCTGTTCTGGATACTGGATGCTCCTAGCATTTCCACTAGTTGCCACTAGGTGTCGCCACCTATAAAGTGAGATTTAGTGTGCTAAGAATTCTCAACAAGGGGCTAGAGTGATAGATAGTACAGCCGGTCTTGCATGCCATCGATCTGTATTTGGCCCCCGGCATCCCGTATGGTCCCCCGAGCACCACCAGGAGTGATTCTTGAGTGCAAAGTGAGGAGTAACCCCTGAGCATTGCCTGGGTATGGCTAAAATAATAATATAATAATAAGTCTCAATAAAATACTTGGCCAAGTTTCTGATGATGGGCGATGCCCCACCTGCCCCAGGCTTGAAGGAACAATGTCTGTTTCCTTGTTGGCTCCTGGATCGGCCATTCATCCCATTCGTCCTTTGTAATAGTTTTTATTATTATTATTAATATTATTTTGACTAAATAGCTTCTTCCCGACTTACCCAACCATATGAATTTTGGTCACTGTCTTTTTGTTGTTGTCATCAATAACCCCAGCTGTTTGCTGCTATACAAACAGGTATACTCACTCTTGTTGCTATTGCCGCTATTATAAATCATTCGTATTATCTTCATCTACTGCTATAGAGTTTACAAAGTGCTTCTGTAGAGACATAAGAGACTCTCCAGAGATTATAGTTAGACATTTAATACTCATATTTATTAAAGTGAGCATGATTCTTTTCACTTAATGGTGATGAAATTCTGGCCCCAATACAGCTCTTCATAAAAGAGCTAGAGCTTGAGGGGCTGGAGCAAGAACACAGTAAAATAAATAAAAGGCCCTCCCGTTGATCATCGATTTGCTCGAGCGGGCCCAGTAACGTCTCCATTGGAGACTTTGTTGTTACTGTGTTTGGCATATCGAATACATCACGGAGAGCTTGCCAGGCTCTGCCATGCGGGCGAGATACTCTCGGTAGCTTGCCGGGCTCTCCGAGAGGGGCGGAGGAATCGAACTCGGGTCAGCCATGTTGGCTGCGTGCAAGGCAAACGCCCTACCGCTGTGCTATCGCTCCAGCCCAAGAACACGATGGGTAGGGCATTTGCCATGCATGCGGCCAACCCAGGTTCGATCCCCAGCATCCCATATGGTCCCCTGAGCACCGCCAGGAGTAATTCCTCAGTGCAAAGCCAAGAGTAACCACTGAGCATCGCCGGGTGTGACCCAAAAAGAAAAAAAAAAGAGCTAGAGCTTGAATTCAAGATTTCTTGCTTTTTTTCTGCAGTACTCTCTCCACTGCAGCTGTCAATAGGGCACTTAATTGTTTCATTTAATAATAGCTGTTGAGGGCTGGAGAAATAGCTCTGGGGACCGAGCACATACTTTGCATATGGTAGACTCAAGTTTGATCCCTTGCATAGCCTGAGCTATGGAGTCTGGAGGGACCCCCTTCCCCCCCACCCTCCTTCCCGGCACCACCACCAAGCCCTGCGCTGAGAGTAGCCATAAGCACTTTGGGTGTGGCACAACAGTAACAACAACAACTAGTAATAATAGTGATCCAGGACAGATAACCTGCCTTATGAGAGAGTTGTAATGCTTTTGCTTTCGTCTTATGTTGTTCTTTGAGCTTTTTAATTTTGTTGTGTCATTATTTTTTCTTTTAGGGAGATTTGTTTCGTCCCATGAAGCACTCAAACTGGGTATTATAGATGAGATCGTGAACTCAGATCCTGTTGAAGCAGGACTCAAATTTGCCCAGAGAATTTCAGGTAAGCTGATAATAATTAAAAATTGCACAGGATTGAATGTCCATTTTAATAAGGAATTCCATTATCTGCCACGCGATCTTTGTGATGGAATTTGGCATGACTTGGATGAGAAACTTACATGCAATATAGTCTTGATGTAACATGAACATCATGATATAGTCTGTTCAGTGAAAAAGCATCATTGTGTAATAAGAAAGAGGGGATGAAATTAAATATCAGCATGGAGAAAATATATAACAAAACTATCTATGTGTAAAATCTTGAATTCATCTGAATAGTTAATGGTTGGCTCTAGGAATAGGGTTGTTTTGCCAGACAAGCAACTGGAAATTCTTTTTAATGTCTGCTCTTCTCTACTTAAAAGATTTTTAGAATTTTTTTTTTATTGTGGGACTAGGGATTAAACAGAGGACTGAGTACACACAAGGCAAGAGCTTTTCTGTTGAGCAATACTACATTGAATTTTCATTGAATAAGTTTATTTTGTATTAAGAAATTTGATCAAATAAGAACAAACAAGTGTTTTAGAAAATGGAAGTCAGCGTCTATAATTTAACATAATAAAATTATGCTTCTGTCTCGGGAAACTTTTGATTTCTTCCACTAGCTTCTCACTTTATGGACTCATAACATCCCTTTAAAAGATTCTTTGTAGTGGGCATGTCTAGAATTTGTTATTTTTTAATTTTGTTTTATTATTCATTTGTTTTTCTTTTTGGATTACGTCTGGCAGTGCTCAGGGGTTACTCCTGGCCCTGCACTCAGGAATTACTTGTGGTGGTGTTTGGGGGACCATATGAGATGCTGGGGATCAAACCTGGGTCAGCCCTGTCCAAGGCAAATGCCCAATTCACTGTGCTATCACCTCACCTCAGGATGTCTTCTTGTGGGGAAACATCCCACATGCTCAGAACTTATTTCTGGGGCTCTGTATTCAGGGATAACTATGGTAGACTGCATTCAAGGCAAGTACTTGACTTGCTGTACTGTGTATCCGCCACAGTTTTTTTTTTTTAATTCGTCCTTTTCAATTTATCGAGGGTGACAGCAAGAGCAGGTTAGAAATGTCAGAAAGAATTACTGGAAGGAATGTTAAGACAAACAAGTAGAGCTGTGTTCATCTCCCTGCTTGCTGGTCAGTAGTCATCATCATCATTCAAGGACAGTCTTTAGAAGAAGTAATTTAAAAAAAAATACTTTATTTAAGAGCCGTGGTTTGCAAAGTTGTTCATAATACAGTTGTTACAGGCTTTCAGGGCTGGAAAGATAGCATGGCGGGTAGGGCGTTTGCCTTGCATGCGGCCGATCTGGTTGGGTTCAATTCCTCTGTCCCTTTCGGAGAGCCCGGCAAGCTATCAAGAGTATCTTGCCCGCACGGCAAAGCCTGGCAAGCTACCTGTGACATATTCGATATGCCAAGAACAGTAACAACATGTCTCACAGTAGGAGACATTACTGGTGCCTGCTCAAGCAAATCGATGAACAATGGGAGGACAGTGCTACAGTGCTACAGGCTTTCAGTGTTCCAACACCAAACCTACTTTTAGTAGTAACATGCCTTCCATCATTATCTTCATTTTCCCAATAACCCCCAAGTCTTCCCTCTTAGCAGGCACACAGTAATTTATTTTGTATTGTTTATTTACAACTATATGGCCAGTGGAATTATTAAAAGTCCTTCATGAAAGAAAACCTGTGAAAATTGTTATATTTTACCATGGGATTGTTAAGTCCTTGCTTGAGGAGTTACTAAGCTGTTTGCTACTAGATGAGCCTTCTGTGTTTATGTTTTTGTTTGTTGAGCTAAGTTGCCTTCTATGTTACTTTCCCATCTAATTCAGTGTGTGCCTATTTCAGTGGAATTTCAGTCATGTGGATTTTGGAGGTGCTGTTGGGGCCGCATATGCGGTCACACGGTCCATGGACAAGAAGTCATTCTTTTTTGACTCTGAAAGGATCAAACACTTCCCTGAAATAATCTTTCTTTTTGTGGCTCATGCCGGTTGCTATTTCAATTCAATAGTAGAGGCTTGAAAAGGGGACTCCAGGGAACTTGAGAACTGGGGACTCAGCAGGGCTGAGGAGATAGTACAGCCAGTACGAGCTTTACCTTGCAGATGACCTGGGCTTGATTCCCCAGCACCACAGAGGGTCTCCCCCCAAATTCCCTAGGGCTGATTCCCCGAGCACAGAGCCAGGAATAAGCCCTGGGCACAGCCTGGTGTGACCCCAAAAGAAGAATAATCATAAAAATTTAAAAAGAACTGGTGACTCTAGAAAAGAACTAGCAGGTCTTGTTCCAAGTGGGCACGAGTTTCCCACCATCTTTCCCTGCCTTCCAGTCCAGCATGGTTTCATGGTTCCTTTGTGCCTCTTGGCAGAGCTTTCTGTAGTGTTGGAAGTCTCAGGGTTATCTCTTTGCATTAAGGTTCCTAAACTTGTACTGCTCTGAGGCTTAAGATGAGATTCAAGTCTGTCACTTGCACCATGGTTTTAATTTGTCAAGGACCTGATTTCAGCAGGATATTCTTTTCCTTCACTGATTTCCCTAGATTCAGATTTGAGAGTTGCTCCTCCAAAAAAAGAAAATATGAGAATCACAGTCTGGGACATCTATAAGACGTTGCATTCGCGTGCTTAATTTTTAATTTGTTTTAAATGAAAAATTTAAACACTGATGTTGTACTTATAAAAATTGTAAAAATGATCTCTTCAGTCTCAGCAACATAAGTTTGTCCACTTGGTGGCATCCAAATATTGAAGAGGAATCCTCTACTGTAAAAATTGGTAATTCACTTGTTAACAGAATAGCAGTGGTTCTGAGCTTTAGAAAATTAGATGGAACTATTTTAAATTATCATCATGAATATTTTATAGAAATATGTAAAATGCAATATAAAAATGTCTAAAACATAAATTTCCATACATTCTATAATTATAGCTGCTTAGAGTATGTATGAATACAGATAACAACTTAAATACACAGAAATGAAAAGAAGTTTGCTCTCCTCCAAATTTTCCTAAGTGAGTTTTGCTGATGTTTTGATTTTTATTCACCTTTACTGAGGCATCATTTATGCACAATAAAATTCACCCATTTTAAGGGTTGAGTTTGACGGACTTTGCTTATAGTCACGTAACCACAGATATTATCAAGATATAGTTCTGTCATTCTAAATAAGTATTCTCTTATCTTTTTCTGAGATTCTCTGTCCTACTTACCTCTTGACCAATGGGGTAGCAGGCAGAAAACCACCCATCTGCTTTTGCATTGTTTAAATTTCATGTTTCTAGAATCACCTGTAGCCTTTTGTGTCTGATTCCATTTCATTAGCACAGTGTTGAGATTCGTCATCTTATTTCACGTGTTAATTTCTCATTCCTTTTTAACTGCTCAAAAGTAATCATAATGGCATGAGTTTACCATTTGTGTTGTTGTTTATTAGTTGATAAACATTTAGATAGTTTCCACTGTGAACTTACCCAAGGCTTTCTAGGTATAGTCTTTCTTTTCACTTGGGAAAATTCGCTAGCGTGGTAATGGTGGGTCTATAGTAAGTATATGCTTTATTCTTAAAGTGTTTCTTAAATTTGATGTTGCAAACTCGTTAATGACTTGAAAGGCACTGTTAGGAGTCCATTTGGCATTAGGTTCTGTATTGACATTTGCTAATTGTTCCTGTGACCCTGTTCCATTACTTCTCAAATGACCTGATCAGTCTGGCTCTTCTGTTCATAACTATGATTTATTTCTTATCCAGCTCTGTCCAAGCTACTAGAATGGGTCACTCAGAGGTCCTCCCTCTACTTATCTACTTATGCTCCTTATTTTCCCACTACAATTTCACTTACTGTAATCACCTCAAGCTCTATCCATCTTGTTCCAAAGTACACATTTTCATCTTTTTCGTGGCAGAGTAATATTACATTTGGTATATACAGTGTTCTTTATCCAGTCATCTGTTGACTGACCTTCAAGTTAATTTCATATTTTGGCTATTGTGAATAATATTGCAATGAGCATGAGGATGAACATATCTTTTCAAAGTAGAATTTTCATTCTTTGGATATCTAGGAGAGCTATTACTAGATCACGTAGAATTTCCATCTTTTCTTTCTTTATTTTTTTGGCATATTAAAAATATTTATTGTTGGGGCTGGAACGATAGCACGGCGGGTAGGGTGTTTGCCTTGCATGCGGCCAACTCGGGTTCGACTCCCAGCATCCCATATGGTCCCCTAAGCACCGCCAGGAGTAACTCCTGAGTGCAGAGCCAGGAGTAACCCCTGTGCATCGCTGGGTGTGACCCAAAAAACAAAAGAAATAAAAATTAAAAAATTAAAATATTTATTGTCACTTGTTACTGGGAACATGAAAGTCAAAATGGCAATGAGACATCATTTCCTACCCATGAGAAAGGCATACATGAAAAGACGAGTGACCAACTTAAGTGGGGATATGGTGAAAAAGAAATCTTTGGTCATAGTCACTAAAAGATTTTCTTATTTGGCCTTTATGGAAAACAATATAGAGGTTTCCCAAAAAGTAAGCATAGATCTTCCATACAACTCAATTATTACACTACTTGGCATCTACCCAAGAATCTTTTCTTTTTTTAAGTTTTTTTATACCAGTTTCCTATACCAATTTGGCATTTATTGATTTTTGTTTAAGTTATTATTAGTTTATTTTCTAACTTTTAGTTTTGACCTCCCTTATTTTTCTGATATTTTTAGAAATATATTTAAATTTGATTTTTTTTATTATTAGTCTTATCTTCTGAGACAGGCTGGAGCAATAGCACAGATGGTAGGGCATTTGCCTTGCATGCGGCAGATCCGGGTTCAATTCCTCCACCCATCTTGGTGAGCCCGGCAAGGTACCAGGAGTATTCTGCCTTCACGGCAAAGTCTGGCAAGCTACGTGTGACATATTCAATATGCCAAAAACAGTAACAAGAAGTCTAACAATAGAGACGTTACTGGTGCCCACTCCAGCA